TACTAGTTTCCTACCTCCTTGATCTGTACCAATATAACTACTAAGCTTTATGAATCTCTAGATAGCTAGTTAAACTTATGTCAGTGCTGTTGAATATTGTTCTATTGTTAGTAGAGGTAAAGTTGCTCTATGTAGCAGGCATTTATCATGGATCACTAGTAGGTCAATATTTTGTTTTTCTTAGGGTTTATCCTATAATTATAGATCTTTTTTCTTTTGCTAAGAGTGCATTTAATGCTATAATTGCTGTTGATTTTATTACTATAGCCAAGGTGACATAGCTGTTGCTATTGATTGGTTTTCTGAGGATGCCAATATCTGGATTGCTTTGGGATCATTAGCAGTACTGTGACCCACTCCTGGAAATCTAGGTACTGGGCCAAATACACTGTAATCTTTCATCTCAAATGAACAAAGGTGGTTGGGTCATGGGATAGAGGCAAAGACTAATGGCCATGTCCAGATGACACCACTGAAAGGAAGACATTATCTAAACAGGTTTCTGTAATAGAAATAAAGCTTTCCAGTAAAATCAACATAGCATCAACAATAAAAGAGGCAACACCCTTCACACTAGCAACCAAAAAAATGAAATATTTAGGAATTACTCTCACAAAAGAAGTGAAAGACCTATACAGGGAAAATTATAATACACTGAAAAATGAAATTGAAGATGATCTCAGAAAATGGAAAAACATCCCTTGCTCATGGATAGGAAGAATAAATATCGTGAAAATGGCCACACAGACATAGGGGTAGGTAGAGAATTCGTGAACAGGAATCAAACCACACAGAAACTACTTCCCAGAATCAATAGCTTGGATCATATCTTATTAAAAAGTTTCTGCATGTCAAAAGAAATCTCCAGCATAGTGAAAAGTAAACCCACAAACTGGGGAAAAATTTAGTGAACTGTCCCTCAGACAAAGGACTTCTGTCTAAAACATATAAAGAATTTCAAAAAAATCAGACTCCCGAAATTCAAGGACCCAATCTAAAAATGGGCATCTGAGATGAATACGCACTTCTCAGATGAAGAAATACAAATGGCAAATAAATACATGAAAAAGTGTTCATCATCATCACTCATTAGAGAAATGCAAATTAAAATCACACTGAGATTCCATCTCACTCCTGAAACAATGGCCAGGATCAAGAAAACCACCAGCAACAAATGTTGGAGTGGCTGTGAGGAAAAAGGAACTCTCCTGCATTGTTGGTGGGAGTGTAGACTGGTGCAACCATTGTGGAGGCCAGTCTGGAGATTCCTCAAAGAGCTGGGATTGAATGTCCCATTTGACCCAGCTATTCCACTTCTAGGCATATTCCCAGAAGAACTGAAAACATCATACCACAGTGATATATGTGCACCCATGTTTATAGCAGCACAATTTGTAATAGACAGATCTTGGAAGCAACCTAAGTGTCCACTAACTGAGGAATGGATAAAAAAGTTGTGGTATTTTTATACAATGGACTGCTACTCGGCTATAAAGCATGATCACATTGATGTATTTGTAAATAAATGGGCGCAACTGGAGACCATACTCATAAGCGAAATAAATCAAACTCACATGTATAAATACTGTATAGTGTCCCTAGTGTAAGAAGTGGTAACAGTATGTAAGAGTTTTCGGTAATCATGATTCCCCAATACATTGCTTTAAAGTCTTATAATGATTGCGTTCAATAGTTAGAATGGGTTTTTCCTGGTCTTTTTGATCTTATTATCTGTGATGGTATGAACAGCTATTTTAAAGAAAACAAGACATTATAATAGCCAGTGCTGATTTAATATCATCTTACTCTGAATGTCCTATCATGCTTTTGTCCTTCTGTTTCCATTGGTTCTATAAGTTGTATCTTAATGGATTGTATTATGTGTGATAGTATAAACATATTTTCTATGGAAAATGAGATAATAGAGTAGCCATTGTTGATTTTCTGTTATTTGGTTCTGAATGCCCTGTAATACTTTCTTTCTCTTGAATGGTTTTATACTATTTTGGTATGTTTGATACTATTGTATATGAAGTTATGCTCAACTATTTCAAAGAAAGATACATTATGATAGTTACTGTTAATTACGGGTTGTCTCCTGGTGAAATACTGTGTTGCTTACATTGTTCTGTTCTGATCTGCTTTGTCTTAATCTCTTTAAAATAAAAAAAGAGTAAAAAAAAGAACTGAATCAAACCTGGGAGCAAATGGACTTAGTAGACATTTACAGAGGGTTCCACCCAACCACACCAAAATACACATTCTTCTCAGCTGTGCATGGGACATTCTCTAAAACAGATAATAAATTAGCCCATAAAACAGTCTTAAGTAAATGTAAAGGGGTTGAAATTATCCCACGCATATTATCTGATCATAGTGTACTGGGACTGGAAATCAGTGACAAAAGAAATTGCAAACCTTTCTAAATACATGGAAATTAAATTACAACATCCTAAACAATCAATGGGTTACAGGTGAAATTAAAGAAGAAATTAAGCAATACCTGCAATTCAATGACAATGCAGATACAATATACTGAAACCTGTGGGATGCAATGAAAGTTGTCCTAAGAGGGAAATATTTAGTAATAAATTGTCACCTCAAAAAAATAGAATGAGCACAAATAAACAACCTAATGCTACCCCTCAAGATTCTTAGAATAACAAGAGCAAGTAAAGCCCAAAGTTCATAGAAAAGAGGAAATTATAAAGATCAGAGCAGAAATTAATGCAATTGATACAAAAATGACAAAGAATTAATGAATCAAAGAGCTGGTTTTTTGAGGGAATAAATAAAGTTGATAGACTTCTGGCTAATCTTATCAAGAAAAAGAAAGAAAAAACTCAAATTCATACAATAAGAACTGAGAAGAGAGAAATTACTACAGATCTTATGGAAATTCAAAAGACCATGAACACCTACTTTAAAAATCTTTACTTACATAGAGTGGAAAATACAGAGGAAATGGACAAATTTCTAGAAATGTATGAACTGCCAAAGCTGAATCAAGAAAATATAAAAATTTTGAACAACCCAATATCAGCTATTGAAATTGACAACATAATTTAAAACTTAATAACAAAGAAGAGGCCAGGTCCTGGTGGACTCGTGGCTGAATTATACAAGAAATTTAGAGAAGATTTAATGCCAATACTCCTCAAACACTTCAATGACATTGAAAGGGAAGCAATCCTCCCTAACTCATTCCTGGAGGCAAGTATTACTCTGATATCAAAACCAAAGGAAGACCCAACCAAAAAGGAAAACTATAGGCCAATCTCACTAATGAACATTGATGCAAAGATTCTCAATAAAATACTGGCAAATAGAAAGCAGCAAATCATCAAGAAGATTATACATCATGATCAAGTGGGATTCATCCCAGAAATTCAGGGATGGTTTAACATATGCAAATCAATAAATGTAACATATCACATCAACAGAGCCAAAAAAAAAATCACATGATTATCTCAATAGATGCAGAAAAAGCTTTTGTTAAAGTCCAACACTTATTCATGATAAAAACCCTTCAGAAACTTAGAATAGATGCTATCTACCTCAATCTGATAAAGTCCATCTATGACAAACCAACAGCCAACATTATACTAAATGGAAAAAACTGAAAGCTTTCACTTTAAAATCAGGAACAAGACAAGAATGTCAGCTATCACCACTCCTATTCAATATAGTTCTAGAAACACTAGCCAGAGCAATCAGACAAGAGAGAGAAATAAAAGGAATAATGATAGGAAAGGAAGAAGTTAAATTACCACTATTTGCAGATGACATGATACTCTACATAGAAGACCCCAAAAACTCCACCAAAAGACTACTAGACTTAATAAACAAATTCAACAGTGTAGCTAGAGAAGACATTAACAGTCTCTGTGGAAATCAGTATGGAGATTCCTCAAAAAACTAGGATTGGAAGTTCCATTCAATCCAGCTATTTCCCTCCTAGCTATTCTCCCAGAGAAACTGAAAATGTCATGTCACAATGATATATGGGCACCCATGTTTATAGCAGTGCAATATGTAATAGCTAAATCTTAGAAATAACCAAAAGACCTATTAGCCACAGAATGAATGAAAACAATGTGGTATTTTTATACAATGGAATATTACTCAGCTATAAAAAAGGATGATCTTGAGGCTTTGATAGGGAAATAGTCACCTTGAGACTATCCTCATGAGTGAATTAAATCAGACTCATAATTGTAATATCATATTGTCTCATGTATTTGTAAAAATATAAATGATAACAACAATAAACTGAAAGAGTAATAAGATCCAAAATGTAGAATAGATATTGTAATAATGAAAAGAGAAGAAAGTGTTTGAAATCAAATAACAGCTTGTAGGTGCATACATACAACTGTATGTATGTTTAAGTGTGCAAGAATGATAATGATACTACTAATTTTTTGTTAGTTCATCTAGAAGAATAGTTTGTGCTGTCATTGTTTGATTGTTCAATTTTTATGCTTTGATTTTGTAACTGGAACAGCTACTTCTAAGATAACAATATGTAATTTATCAACTAGTTATTTCTTACTGTTAATTTTTTGAAATTCTGTATTATTATACCTTTTTTCTAATTTTCTTTTTTTCTCTAAATAAAAAAATAAGACATTTGGCAAGCTGATCGTAGACAGATGTAATAAGATATTGGTCCACATAAACAAAATAATCAGCAAGTCTAGAGAAGACATTAACACAAAACTAGGGTAAACAAAATGGGGCAAAGCATGCATAACCAGCATAAAAAAGAATTAGATTCCATAAAAAGTTTCTAAACAGAATTTCAGAGACTAAAAAGAATTAAAAACTTCACAACACAGTGTTATATGTGTATCTATGTTTATAGCAGTACAATTTATAATAGCCAGATCTTGAAAACAACCTAAATGTCCATCTACTGAAGAATGGATTAAAAAGATGTGTATTTTTGTACAACAGAGTACTACTCAGCCATAAAGAATGATAAACTGGAGACGTACCATGGTTGCCCCTGATGGATGTGTTTTCAAATTTTGTTGTAGTTTTCTTCTTTTTCTCCTTCTCCTTCTCCTTCTTCCTCTTCTTCCTCCTCCTCCTCCTTCGTCTTTCTTTCTTTCTTTCTTTCTTTCTTTCTTTCCTTCTTTCCTTCTTCTTCTTCTTCTTCTTCTTCTTCTTCTTCTTCTTCTTCTTCTTCTTCTTCTTCAATCCTTGAAATAAAACGGATTTGGAAAAACAAAAAGAAATTCAAGACTAAAAATTCTATGAAAATATGGAAAGCATTAATGGGCAATATGGGGACAGAGTATCAGAACCAGAAGATAAGGCTGTGGTTAGTGACTAATTATCGGGTGATACTTTAAAAATACGAGAACATGGAAATGGATCCAATATCTCCTAATGAAAAAAGACTGAGCTAAGATTAACTAGAATTAATGAAAAAATCAGAAGATAATCAGAAGGCATTAAAAACCCTGTTTACAGACATAGTAGCAGAAAATTTTCCACAGAAGGGGAAAAATTTAACATACAGATAAATGAGGCATAGAAATCCACATTCAGAAAATAACTTCTATATGGGACATCATAATCAAATTCTCAGAAGTCTATACAAGAACAGAATCTTAAAAGTGGTTAGAAAAAAAGCAACATATCATTTATAAAGCAAAACCCATTAGAATTATAGCAAACTTTGCAACACAAATTTTAAAGGCTAAGGGCTTAAAGTGAAATATTTCATGCCCAAAGAGAGAACAATCTCCAACCTAGACTGGTACATCCTACAAAGTTACTTCAAAATTGATGAAGAAATAAGATACTTTCTTGATAAAGAACACTTGCAGAAACTCACAGCCACCAAACCAGCACTCCAAAAAATTTTCAAGGGTACCTAGAACAATGACAAAAAGTCTATATAATCAATACAGCAGGTAGGGTGAACAGTAATGCAGAAAGGAAAGATAGGGGACCAACAACATGGAAATAAGGTAATGACAGGAATAAGTCAATATCTACCAGTAATAACTTCTAATACTCTTAATATGAACAGTTTCAATTCCCCAGTCAAAAGACTCAAACTGGTAAAATTTATCAAGAAACAAATCCAATGGGATGTTATGTATTGGATAAGAAACACATTTAACCCCAAAAGAAACTCATAGACTAAAAATCAAAGAATGAGAAACACTATTCTGTGCAATAGGAACCCAATAAGAAGTAGGGATAGCTATTCTGTTGTGACAATTAATTGTGGTGTCAACTTGAATAGCAAATAATTGGTTTATCAGAGTTCTGAATATATCTAAATGATGGACTTGCTGAAGAAGAAAGACGCACCATGGGTGTGGGTGGTCCAAGCAGCTTTGTAGCCTCCTTAGAATAAAAATGGAAAGAAGAAAAAAGTGACTTCTGTTTCGGGAGCTCCAGTCTTCATCCTTGCCTTCGGACATCCATCTCCAGGCTGCTAGCTCAGACTCGTCAGCCTTTTAGCGCAGACCCTTCGGCTTCTTGATAAGGACTCTCACGGGACTCTGCAGTGAACTCCAGCCCTTTGACTTGTGACCAGATCCTCCAGATCTCCAGGATGCCAATGCCCTTTTGCATTTTTCCACACCTAACCCTCAGGCAGCCATTGCAAATCCATACGTAATATTCTCTAATCCCATTTTAATCCTGGCTCTTAGATTAGCAAGGCGTAGGCCCAAATTAAATCTCCTTCTCATCCCCACATGTGAGGAATACCTTGCTTAGGAATAGAACTTGCAGCTTCTGTGTGGCTCTATATACCTGTGGGTTTTAATGATACCCAATCAGTTCATTTGCAGAGGAGTGGGCAGTACATATTTGTTAAGGAGAAAAGGGGAGAAGGTAGAAGTAAGTAGCCAATGGAACTGTTGCAAGCCAATGTGGAAAGAGGATTTGTGTGTCTCGATGGGTGCTTCTTTAACACCAAAGTAAGCAGTGACAAGTCCTGCCTAGGAGTAGGGCCAGCGTACTGCCTAGGACATGCACACGTGGATTTTCACTCACCCCATCTGTAACTCCTTCTTGAGTACCTCCTCTGTGCCAGACAAGGGACAATCTAATTATATGATCCTACAGAGACACACAATAGAGTCAGTGGTGTTCGTACCTGCGTGTGCTGGACTGAGTTCTGGACACCCTGGGTAGTCAGGTTAGGTAACATTTGAACTGACACCTAAATACGGAGGATTAGTCATGTAGAGATGTAGGGACAAAGCACTCTAAGCTAAAGAGACCACAAGTACAAAGGTCTTAATGAACTTTTATGTTTAGTAACAGAGAGAAAGAAAGTGTGTGAAAGTGGAATAGAGGGGAGGTATTGTACTTGAGAGGAGAAAGAGCGGAACAAAGCAGAAAAAAGAGTTCTATAGGACCTCTCGGGCCATAGAAAAGAGCTTAGATTTTATTCTAAGTGATATAGGAAGACCCTGGGAAATTTTCAGTAGACACAGGACGTACACACCTTGCTTCAGTTTCTATGGACCACTCTAGAGACCAGCCAGAGAATGGATGGTCTGGAGGTTAGTGCCAATGCCAGCTGCAGGATATTCTTGTATAATGAGTTAAGGGATAGAGCTGGTACAGAGAGATTTTATATTGACAAAAATGAAAGGGGGTAATACTTCTTGAAATAATATCAATGTGCATCTATGGTTTGCATTTCTGAAAGCATGACATTCTGTCAGAGCAGCATCTCCTTTAAACAAGTCAGGATTTGTCACAAAAAGATTGATTACAAAGAGCATAAAACAAATAATACACAGCAGCTTTTACTATTGGCTGTAATGTTAGCTGTGGGCTTTTCTTATAGGACCTTTGTTACATTGAGATAATTTCTAATCTTAGTATTTTATTTATTTTTTAAGTCATGAAACCATATTGAATTTTGTCAAATGCTTTTTCTTTTCTTTTAAATTTTATTTAGGGAGAAAAAGAAAAAAATAGAAAAAGGGTACAAGTTATACAGAATTTCAGAAAAAATATACAGTAGGAAATCACTAGTTAATAGATTACATATTGTCATCTTAGAAATAGTTATTCAAGTCACAAAATTAAAGCATACAAGTGGACATTCAAACAGTGAGACTGCAAACAGTTCTGTTCAATGATCCAACAAAACTCAGTAATATGGTTATCTATCTTATACACTTAAATATACATGCAGTTAGAGCACTTTCTTTTCCTCTCTTTTGTACAATGACAATTACACATTTTGGGTTTTATTACTCCCACTGTTCTTACTACTTTTTTTGAAGAGAATAAAACCAAATGTGACATAACAAAACAGTCAGTCAAATCAAAAGGATGGACATAATACATAAAAACAAAATAAAAAGTGATCAACATTGGTTACCATAATGCCTCTTGCTATCTTAAAAAGAATTGCCTATATCATCAGTTATAATAAAATTGAACAAAACAGTAAAGAACAAAACCAAGGAGCTGGGGATTTAGCTCAGCGGCATAAGCGCCTGTCTTGCAAGCAGGCAGTCGTGAGTTTGATCCCTGGTACCGATAAAAACGAAAAAGAAAAAAAAAAAAAAAAAACCAATAAAACCAAAACATTGAAGATACTACAGGACTTCAAAAGAAGATAATAGTCAAACCAGAATGAGCGTCATAATGAATTTTATTGTCTTCACAGTTGTTGCCTATACTCTCAAACTTGGTAGTATCAAACAAAAAAGAATAGAGGAAAATCAGTCAAAACAAGATGGTGACAGCAATACAGGGTTTCATACCAAGTTAATAGGGAATCAAAGTGGGTTACTATAATATATCCTGCTATTTTTTATTTATTTTTCCCTTAATTAAAAAGATAAAAATAAAAAAGTAAATAATAAAAAAGGGGATTGAGATAAAAGAGGGCATAACAACAAAACAGCGCAGGTCAAAACATAGCCATTTAAGCAAAATAGTGTTTCCCCACCACATATCCCGACATAAAAGTAGTTACCATAGTGTCTCTTTCCTTGAAATATTTGAGTATAACTTCATATACTGTAGCATCAAACATATCAAGACAATTTAAAACCATTCAAGAGAATGACAGTATTACAGGGTATTTAGAACCAACTAACAGAAAATGAACAATGGTTTCTGTTTAATCTCCTTGTCTATAAAAGTTTTTGTTCATATGATCACATATAATAAAATCCAATAAGATACAACATGTTAAGACCTATGGAGACAGAAGAACAAAAGCTTGATGGGGCTTCAAAACAAGATGACATTAAATCAGCACTATTATGATGTCTTGTTTTCTCTAAAATAGCTGTTCCTACCATCCAACTTTCTCTGCCTAATTTCTGTTGAGCTATTTTTCTGTCATTAGTTGTCAGTTTGTCTTCTTCATTTTGCTTTCTGCTCCATTCATTGTGGCCTCTCTGCCACTATTTCTGGAATCTTGGTATTTTTCTTTTTTTAGAATGTCCTGCAGTATTTTCTGTAGAGTTGAATTGGTGGTTGCAAATTCCACTAGTTCCTCTTTATCCTGGAAGCACCTTGTTTTTCCATCAATTTCTAGGGGTAGTTGTGCAGGATATATCAATCTTGGCTGGAAGTTATTATCTTTCAAAGCTTGAATTATTCCCCCCCCCCACACACATTCTTTGTGATTTGATGGTTTGTGCCAACAAGTCTGCTGTAATTCTGATGGGTGTTCCCTTGTAAGTGATCTGTTTCTTGTCTCTGATGGCTTTTAATATTTTGTTCTTATATTGGATTTCTGGAATTTTGATTATTATATGCCTGGGTGTTGTTCTGTTTGGGTTGTAGTTGGCTGGGGTCCTGTATGCCTCATACATATGAGTATCTTTACCTTTGGCTAAATTAAAGAAATTCTCTTGGATTATTTCTGTGAATAGCCTTTGTAGTTAATTTGTTTGTGTCTCTACTTCTTCTTTTATGTTCTTAATTCTTAAGTTATAGATCCTCTTATCATTTTCAAGCCTTTGTATTATTGCTGTTTGTTTTCTTGTTATTTTTAAGAAGTTTCGTGCTCCCACATTACAAATCTGTCCTCCAGTTCAGATAATCTATCCTTAGTTTCTTTCAAGCTGTTATGCCAGCTTTCAATAGAATTTTTAGTTTCCTGGTAATCTCTTTGAACCTGTTCACATATTCTATGTTTTCTCTATTTTCTCCATCAAACAATTCTCCCCTTTTTTTCTGTTGCTCCATTCCACCATCTGTTTTTTCTTGGGCAGTGCTTAGCATTTCTCTAACTATTCTACTTATATATTGCTTTCGGTCATTAAATACTTCACTTTTGAACTCGTCTATGAGGCTCCGGAGATAACGCTTTATGTCTGTTGGTGCCGTGTCTGAAATTGCATGTTTTCTGTCCTCATTCTCCTTTGCGTTTACCTTTCCTGGATCAGTGTTCTCAGGATTGGGGACTGAGGACCCTTTCTTGCTGCTCCCTCTTCCCATACTTTTTTGTTCCTTCCATACAAGCGTATATAGGAGGCACAGTTTTTTTCTTTGTCGGTTACAGTTTGTTTGAATTGTGCCGGCTAGGTGTTCCCGCCCACTGCAGTGTACTAGGGAGACACAGACCTGGGCAGCCTCTGCTGGGCCCACCCCTCCAGGTGAACCTACTGAAGGCTTCACTGCTAGGGTGCACCACCAGGTGCTGGGACCTGGTTTGGGCTAGTCTACTGGGTCTTAGTCCGTGGCGTCACCCAGGTCAGGGCTCCCTACCAATCCCGCTTGAGAGACGAATATGTGACTAAAGTCACTGCAGCGTCCTGTTCCGGCTAGTCTGCCTGGTCCCAGAATGTCCTCTGTTGGAGCCTCCTAGTCTATGGAAGGGTCCTTGTTCCTCTTACTTACCGCAGGTCGATGCAGGGCTCCCCGCCAGTCCCGCTCTCAACTTCATTCACCAATTCCCACTCTCAGAGGTTTTGCCTCTCTGTCCATGCTGTGCCAATTCAGATGCAGCAGCGGCAGCAAGAAATTCAAATCATGGCTTCCAGAGACACGGGTTCCAGCTTCAGCGCTGAGATTTTTATCTGTTCTGGTTATAGCACCAGGATTGCATTTCCAGTTGGTTTCTCTAAGCTTAGTTCGTTCCTGGGTCAGCAGGGTATATCTCCCCTTGCTTAGGACTCTTCATACCGCACCATTCCTGGATTCTAAGCTGACTTTCTCAGAGAGCCTCCATAGCTGCTGTTATCTATCCGCCATGTTCTCCCAGAAGCCTCTCAAATGTTTTTTTGTATTGAGATGACCATGTGCGTTTTCTTCCTCATTTAGTTTGCACTGGGTATTTTGTTACTTGAGTCTTGTGTGTTGAACCAGCCTTACATTCAGCAACAGTAAATTCCACTTGGTGATAGTATGTAATTGAACTCATTTTAAAATAATACCAAATAGAGAATTTCTTGTGCCCCTGCTAATTAGCACTTTGGATGCTTGAAAAGATAAAGGAAATTTTAGAGGTTAGAGAAGCTGATTCCTCAAATATAAGTTATGAGAAAATTTAAGAAAACTCACTTCACCCTACTGTTTCAATGTGTGTGGAGACAGGGAGACAATGTAATGTAATTACCTTAAG